ATAATTTGAAATTAAAATTGTTATAAAAAGGTCTATATTTTAATAAAATATAATAGAAGATAAATTTGATTGATACAGACAATTTAATTTGTTGTTAGTAAACACTAATAGTATTGTATCTTTTGTGGATTAATCCATTTTTTAAGTATAAAAATTAATTTCTAAAATAATATTGTTTATACCGCTATATGCTATTTAGTATCGTGTTTATTCTGATAAGTTTTTTGGAACATGCTTTCTTCATTTTTTTGAAAACTTTCGTTATGTGAAAAACATTGGTCGAAACGACTACAAATATCATCGTATATCAACATATTTATTATCATAATCATATTAGTCTGTATATATTTTTTTATTAGTTTTATATAATTTTCAAATGATAATAATTTTAATAAATTGGAGATTTATATTAGGTATTCTAATTAAAATTGAACAAAATGTCACAGTTAGTATGCTTATTAAAATGTTATATGTGAATCATTATTTTTTCTGCTATTAATTGAGAATATACATAAATATAATAAATATACTGATACTGATAGCTAAAAAATGTGAATAATTAGTTGGCATTTGCTATAGGTAAAGTGTTTTGCCTGCCCTAAAATTCCAACCAATGCATATGCACAAATGATCGACCGAATAAAAATAAAATCGTTGCAGTTTGGTCTGATTCTAGATACGTAACATCCTAAGGAAACCACGATTAATTTTTAAATGGTAGTAAAATAATAGATTAGCCAAAAAGCTAATGCAATGATTATATTTTATTGCAAACAATTAATCAAATATTATTGGAGGAATCTTGAAGTCATCAAGTAATGACAACGGGAATCTATGTTACTGTAATTAGGAGAATCTACAATGTGTGTGTATAAAAATTTGTAATTTGTATGCATGTTAGTGTAAGCCCACTTTCAGGTCTATGACTTTCTTTAGCCCATCAAGCACTATCCTAAGTCCTAACGTGTATATCATATTAATGCATATCAATATCCATTTATGAAAAAAAAAATGTGCAAAGCCATAGCAGAGCAGAGAGTCGGCTGGAAGATTTTAGAGAACATATCATTTTTGGAAAAAAAAAAAAAAAAAAACAAAAGATAAGCTATTTTTGGAGTTTTGATACAATGAAAATGAGCTTTTTGGAAAAGTGAGGAAACCTAACTTTTTGTAACTTTTTCAAAAATGATTTTTGAACTGTGAAAAGTTAAACCAAACAACCCCTTACTCTCTCGGATGTTGCAATGGATGATTTTTGTAAAATGAACCACAAAATTATAAAAATAAAATTTCGATCAAAAGAATTATGTAGGAAGAAAACGGCAAAAACTAAAATATGAAAGTGTATATTGTTTGATAATATCACAAATGACAATTAAGTAAGAAATTATAATAATAAAAATTAATATTAATACAAATAATAACTATAAAAATTATATTTAATGGATGAAAAACGTAAATTTAAAATATAAGACGAGATAAAATTGAAACTTATAAATATAATAAGTTAACTTTAAAATTATGAGGGATTAAAACTGTTAAGATTAAAATTATTTGAGGGAAAAAATATAAATAGATAAAACTTACTATGAGCAAAATTAAAGTTTTTATTTGATATATTGTATTAAAAGGTTTTACAATTTTCTTATGATTTAGAATTGACATTTTTAGTTTTGTAAAAAAACAAAATAAAATGACCATAAGATTTTTGAGTAGATAGAAAATGAACGAAGTAATGGGGGAAAACCTCTTTAGCTATCCAACACTTATACTGGATTATATTTGGTATGACTAGAGATGAACTTTAGAATTGGGATCAGTTTTCCTATATTATAAGAACCAGGAACCGGACCGTTAGTTCAAGCGTCGGTTCTGGTTTCGGTCCCGGTTTTCCGGTTATTTTTTAATCCAGAACCGATTGAATTGTTATAGACGATATGTTATCTTCCGGAGTTTGTAAACAATTCAATATTTAACCAAATTATGATTTTTTACATTCTAGATTGAAGTACAAACATTAAATTACATGATGTAAAAAGAATCAAGTAATTCCAATTTCATATCAGTGAGTTATGCGCATTTTAAAAGTGGGACAAATTAAAAAAAAATACTGAAACAAAAAATACACATCATTGATATGTTCTCTTACAGGGTATATTGCTGATTCAATATATAACCAAAATATGTGTTTATATAATCTAAAATGAAGTACAAACACCAAATTACATGCTAGAAAAAATGAAGTAATTCTGACATTATATGAATTGGTTATGCACATTTAAAAAAATGGAACAAATCCAAAATATAACAAAAAAAAGTTTTGAAATAGAAAAAACTCGGCATCGATATTCATTCTTTCAAGGCATGTGTCCGATTCAATATCTAATCAATATGCATGTTTGTAAAGTAAAAAATGAATAACAAACTCCAAATTACATGTTGAAAAAAAAATCAATTAATTCCGATGTTATATGAATGAGTTATACATATTTTAAAAAACAAAAAAACATCAAACCGGTTTGATTTTTAGAACCGTGACCAGTTTTCATAAAAACGGAGAACCGGTACCCGGTCCTTATTACCAATTCTGGTTCCGGTTCCGGTTTAGTTCCGGTTCCTAAGGTTCTAATGCGTATCCTTAGGCATGACTATCCAATGGTCAGAAATCAAAGTTCTATGTGAAAGGAACTCTTTTATATATATATATATATATATATATATATATATATATATATATATATATATATATATATATATATATATATATATATATATATATATATATATATATATATATATATATATCCTAAAACTTATAAGATCTAAAAATTTAAGCAATCCATAAAATTAAATTTTCATTAAAATAATTCACAAAAAAAATTGCTTCTATTGAAACAGTTACCCTTTTAATATTCGTTGAAATAAATTTTTCAATAATATCTTTATAAGTAACTTTGTCCTAAAATGTTGCGATCAATCTTTATCAAAACCAATCCATTGAGTCGTTCTCGAGTCATTGTAAATCGTAAGTAGAACTTCAAAATCTTCAATTTGAGAAAACTTCGTTCCGTTGGTGCAACACTAATAAAAATAATCAACATAATTCAATATGCAATAGTTTTAATAGTAAAACAATCAACACATTTTAAAAACTTTAGAATATCAGTTGCTATCATTTTTTCTTTTGACAAGAAATATAAAAGTAATTTTAACTCGATATATAAGTTATTTCTATGAATATTCTATTGTTCTTCTTACTTGAGTTAAGTTTCAAAAAACTTACAACATGACTTTAATGTTATATCATCTAATGTAAATAATTTTTTCAAAAATAAAACCGCACACAAATATGATAAATAAGACTAACAAAATAATATTAACTTCAAGTCTTCAACTTATTTTTTTAATAAATAATTAATAACATTAATAACGCTTGGATAATAATATTGGATCAAAATTATATATCCAGTTAGATTGGACTAGTTCGGTTATCCATTGGATTTTCATGATGAACCAATAACCGTCCCAATCAAATTAGATTTTGAATTTTCACATCCAATCGAATCTAACTGTAATTCAATATCCAATCCTATATGCCTATTCTTAATTGGATCGGTTAATTTCTATGTAACCTTACCTAGAGTTACAAATTGGTATAAGCTAGTACAATAAAGCTAAGATTTTGGTTTGGCATGCTTCACTCAAATCATTTAGCAAATAGAGATAATTTGGAAAAGCCTGGCATGGATTTGGATCGTATATGCATGTTCTATGAGTGGGGTCAAAGTAGCATCTCTTATTTTTTATTTGTAGGCTCAAACAATTTGGGTGAAATTGAGGCTTTGGTGGGATATTTAAGAGGTGTCGCTATAAATAAAATATTTTAAAAAATGTCGAAAAAAACTTAGAGAAAAAAAATGTCCTAAGGTTTTTAGTGGAAAGATCTTTTATATAATCACTGTTTGAGATTTTATTTTGAACTCAAAAAGAAATCTAGGCAAAACTACTTATTGAGTACGGCAGTAATAAATGAGTTTTTTTTTTTTTTTTTTAAATTGGACTAGTTTTTGTGGTGAGATTTTTTATTTTATTTTATATATATATATATATATATATATATATATATATATATATATATATATATATATATATATATATATATATATGTTTTCATTAACTTATATATGTTTTAGAATATATTTGTCTTTTACAATCCAAAAAGTTATAAAAAGTTTTGAAAAATTAGAAATCTTAACTTATTAAAATCTTCTTTTTAAAGGGTTAATGATAAGTTATTTTAAAAATCTTTTACATATTATCAAACATTTTTTTTTACTTATTGATTTTTTAAAAATCTAATAAATCAATAAATTATTTTTAAATGAAATCCCAAATACTTTTTTAGTTTGTAAATTGAGAAAATGGTAACCAATTACACACAGTTTATTTTTTAGGTCATTTATATTTTAGTTTTGTACAAAATGTGACAACATTTTTCCAGGTTTTTGTTATACCATTAGAATGCATTTAAATCAGGTAAATCTATCATATCAAATGTCAAAATGATAATAACGTCAACGTTAGACAAACCTAAATGAAAAAAATTACGTCACAACGAATATCAAAATAAATGTGTCACGGTAGATTCAATATCAATTTACCAAATTAAAATATACTACAGTAATATAATAAAAACCAAAATAATAAATTTAATAATCTATTAAATATAGTTAAAAGATAAATAACATAAAAAATTAATTATATATTATTTATTTTCATTTAATTAACTTCTTAGAAAACTATAACATAGGTTTTTCCCATTGATACTTTTCTTAACACGTGCCGGTCACGTGTTTTCCTTCCCGCCATCAAGTGACTCAAAAATACCAAATAGGTTGACCCCCTAAGCCGTTACTCCACCGGCTCTTCCCGGTAAACAATATCAGTAGCCGGTCAACAATATAAATACATCGCAGAACACGAAATGCATACGCCATTCTTCTCCGACATCAAGATTTCTCAACTCCTTCATTTCCTAGTTCCCAATTTTCGTTCATCACCGTCTTCAATTTCCCTCACAATTTAGGGTTTTAAAAACTCCGATGAAGGATTCGAGAGCTAGGGTTTCCGATCGACTGTAGCCGGTTGTGTATTCCGTTGATTCGCGCAATTTAAGCTTTCACAATGAGCGCAGTGAACATTACGAACGTGACGGTGTTGGATAATCCGGCGTCGTTTCTCACGCCTTTCCAGTTTGAAATCTCGTACGAGTGTGTTTCGCCTCTCAAAGAAGGTATGTTCGGCAACTCCTTCATGTTTAATTGTCTTCATGTTCATTAGCTTGAATCTCGTTCGTGTTTTGATTTTTCAATTAGGGTTAATGACGTTATAAAGTTGTACCTATTGATTGTTAGGGTTTCTTGATTCGCAATTGGAGTACAGAATTCGCCCAGTTATGTTATTTTACTGATCATTGGTAGGATATTTCCTTTGATTCTCAGCTTTTTACCAAATTACATGACAAAATTAGGTTAAAATAGGGTTGTATGTGTCGATAATTGAATTGAACGCACACATACCTAATAAATAACCTGGGTTAACCAAATCAAAGGGGAAGAACACTATGTTGATGGGCATCTTTAGTATATTACTCCTGGAAACAAATGCAATTGAATTCCGCTTGTTTTATATGCAAGATTATCTTTAAATTCGCTAAAGAAACCAATTCCTTTGCAACTGATAATCTTCTTTATGGTAATGACATTTTACACTTACACCAAGCAAGAAACATCATTGATACATTCTCTTTAGATGACAGAGAACCCAATTTCATAGTTTCATAATATATTCACTTTAGAATTGGACATCAATTTTCATTATAATTCTAACTCCTTACAAATTACAATCATCACTACTTCATCTATTTATTACTTTTTTTTTTTTTTAGATCTTGAATGGAAACTCATTTATGTTGGATCAGCTGAGGATGAAACATACGATCAGCTCTTAGAAAGTGTACTCGTGGGACCCGTCAACATTGGAAATTACCGCTTTGTTTTTCAGGTAACTAATCACAAATTCAACCAACCAAAAAACAAAAAATTAAAAATTAAAAAAAAAAAAAAACTAATTTGAATTATTTTTAAGGCGGACCCACCGGACCCATCAAAGATCCGTGAAGAAGATATAATCGGAGTGACTGTGCTTTTGCTGACGTGTTCATACGTGGGACAAGAATTTGTGAGAGTGGGATATTATGTGAATAATGATTATGATGATGAAAAGCTAAGAGAGGAGCCTCCACAAAAGGTGATGATTGATAAGGTTCAAAGAAATATATTGACCGATAAGCCGAGGGTTACGAAGTTTCCGATCAATTTTCACCCTGAGAATGAAAACACTGAGAGCGGTGAGCAAGTGGAGCCGCCAGAGGGAGGTGAAAGTAGCCAACAACCACCACCGCCTGGTGAAAGTGGTGGTGATGGTGAAGATAAGTCGGAACCCTAGTTGTTCGATGGTTGTTAAGATGGAAATGGTAGTGTGTTTTGGTTTTTAGGGTTTGTTGCTTAGTGTAAAACTATGGTTAAGATGAAAAAGGTGTTTGTGAAACTTGAATCTTTTCATGTTGATCAAATGTAGGAAATTTAAAAGTTAGGTTGTGGTTGTTACACTGGACCAGGTTACACTGAACAGGACTAAACTAGACTGAATATTATTGGATTCGATAAGACTGAACTGAACTAGACTGAATATTATTGGATTTGATAATTCTGTAAGTCATTTTTTTTATGACGGGGATGATAGAAGGTTTTTATGGAATTTGCACGCGACTAGACATTGAGAGTTGGTTTTTGTCTCATTTTGCTCTATTATTCATAAGGTGTTGAACAAATTAATGAAATTTTGCCCTTTATATTTTCTTTTTTTTAATCTTTGTTTATTGTTTATTAATTATGGAAAATAAATTAAATGATTTATAAACGCTTTGGGACCCATTTCTGCGCCTACTCCCACCATTAGTACAAGCAATGACCGATAACCACTAGTATTTTATAGAGAAATTTATAAATTTAGTCAAATTTATTTAAGACTTTTTACACTAAATAGCAAAAAATTAGCATGTTTTATAAAATAGCCAACATAATCTTAGGTGTTTGAGCTCACTTGCGAGCTATCTTCCTATATTGAGCATTGAATTGGGCCCATTTTGGCCCATGGGCCGGAAGTATTTTTAATTTCAAGAAATTCACTCACAACTCTTTCAATGGCTCAAAAAAAAAAAGAAAAAAACAAAAAAACAAAATTTCAAGAAAAAAGCTTTTATATAGCATCTGCGATTTTAATGGTTATTTTTGGAAAAACTCGATTTTTTGGCTATATTTTAAAAAGTAATTAAGTTATTTAGGTGAATTTGTGAATTTCTTTATTTTACATTCAACCCGTGTATCTGCAAGCCTTTTGAATTCCCTTTCACCAAACCATTGAAGAATCTTGTTTGCGTTAAGCCCAGGATTTTTCTTTCTTCCAACCCCTGAATTTTAAAAATGCAATTGGCTCTCTCGAGTATAGACTCCTCATCGAATGCAATAGCTTTCATAACACTGTTTCTAGTTCATCAACTTGCTGCTTTTTCAACAATAATGTTTTTCCTCTAACTTCTAATGTCTTGTTATAAGTTTTCTCAGGCTGTTATGGCTCATCCACATATATTTTCTACCTTAGCACTATGAAATTTAAAAAAAAAAAAAAAAAAAAAATCTTTGAAAATATCATTTTTTTTTCATTTTAGAGCTCTGTCTTTTCCATAAGCGTAAAAATTTATAAAAGAAAAAGAACAATTTTTTTTTTTTTTTTGGTGTCTTTCTTAGCATTCGAGAAGTATGGTTTGTATTTGGTCCTGTCTATTATTATAACCTCATTTTACATGTAAAACAATTTAGAATATTCCGGTTGGTTTTGCACGCTGTTTTAAAGTAAAATGAATCTTAAGTTACTCCACTACACCTTTATTTTGTCTCTTGTATATATTTGTATATATATTATAGTTTTGTTGGAGGTGTGAGAGAGATATGGAAACATTAGAGGAGTTGCCTAATGGAAAGCAACAGGGGGACAAATGGGCGGATTATGGTCATGAAATAAAAAAGGTGACTCTTATTGCACTGCCGATGGTGGTGGTGGCTTTGTTGCCATACCTAATGCAAATGGTGGCGGTGATAATGGTGGGGCATGTTGATGAACTATCCTTGTCTAGCCTCGCCATTGCCACCTCCCTCACTAATGTCACTGGTTTTAGTCTTCTTGTAAGCATTTCCTTTAAGATTATGTTATGTTTACAATGAAATAGAAGATTTATTTACCATTAACTAACTAAATATTAACTATAAATTCATGTCTTTTAAAAAAAAAATCGTTTCACAAATAGTCAGGTCTTGTGGGAGGACTTGAGACCCTTTATGGGCAAGCTTTTGGAGCCAAACAACATAACAAAATCGGTGGCTACACATGCAGTGCCATAATCTCATTGCTAATTGTTTGCATCCCAATCTCCATCTCTTGGATTTTCATCGATAAGTTCTTAATTTTAATTGGACACGACCCTTTGATCTCACATGAAGCAAGAAAATATTCCATATACCTTATTCCATCTCTCTTTTCCGGTGCAATTGTGAAGCCACTTGTCAGATTACTCCAATCACAGAGTCTGACTATGCCATTGCTCGTGACCTCTACACTTGTTTTATGTTTCCATGCCCCTCTTTGTTGGGGTTTGATCTTCAAGTTAAAGATGGGTAGCGTTGGTGCTGCTACAGCGTTTAGTTTGTCAAATTGGTTCTATTTGATGTTAATGGTGTTTTATTTCAAATTCTCATCGTTGTGTAAGAATGTTGGTGTGACTTTCTGCATGGACGCATTTGTAGGTATGAAGGAATTCTTCTGGTTTGCTATCCCATCGGCTGTAATGGTTTGGTAAACTCATTCATCATTTCATCTTAGAATTAATAGCTTAGGATATAGTTTATTTGTAACAGAATTTTGACAACAATTAATGCATATATTTTGTAGCCTAAAATGGTGGTCACTTGAACTTCTTGTCTTAATATCTGGCTTGTTACAAAATCCACAACTCGAAACATCACTTCTTTCCATATGGTAATCTTTCATTACTTCAAATCTTCCTCATTAACTTTACTTAACAATAATCATCTCGTATTCTCTTTGCTTCAAAATATCTTCAACATTTGTTTTCATCAGCTTAACTATCTCCACGCTACACTTCACTATACCTTATGGGTTTGGAGCAGCCGCAAGGTATTTTAACCTATCACCATTAAAATTTCATCTATCTTTACATAAAAAAATCTCATTCTACAATCCGATTATGTAGCACTCGGGTTTCAAATGAGATAGGGGCTGGAAACCCACGAGCAGCCCGTTTAGCTGTTTGTATAGTGATGTTTCTAGCTGTTATCGAAGCCATAATAGTAAGCACCATGGTTTTCAGTTGTCGCCATTATCTTGCAAATGCTTTCAGTAACAAAATGGAAGTAGTAAGTTATGTTGTATCAATGAGTCCTTTCATAGCTCTCTCGATCATCACAGATAGCCTACAAGCAGTTATTTCTGGTGAGTGATTGATTTTTTCACATTTTTGATCTATACAATATCATTACTAATAGTTCTTGATGCTTTTAGGAATCGCTAGGGGAAGTGGGTGGCAACATATAGGAGCTTATGTGACTTTGGTGGCATTTTATTTGTTTGGGATGCCAACAGCCATTGTTCTTGGATTCCCTTTACATTTGAAAGCAAAGGGACTTTGGATTGGGATCGTGATTGGATCTATAATACAATCCGGGAGTCTCTTATTCGTTACTAGACATACAGATTGGCAAAAACAGGTTTTGTTTCTTAACTTGCAAATTTGTATGTTTATATGCTTTTCATGGTCATGTGGTGACTATGGTTAATAAGACATTATGATATTGTCATTACAGGCAATAAAGGCGAATGAACGAATCTCGAAAGTATCTTATCGGTACACAATTAAAGATATAGATATAAAAGAATGTGTACCCAAAGAAATGCATGAGGTTTTGTAACTATTTTTATGGTGACCGACAATAGTTAATAGAGGTGTTACCTTGATATGATGGTGTTCTTTGATATGATGGTGTTCTTTGGAGTAGTTCATCATGGAAATTGATTTTTAAACAATGTTTTGAAAACCGTGTTTGAATCGGGACATGTAAGAGAAAATAGTTAGCAATGGTTTTATCTTTATTTAATAGACTGGATCGAACCGAAAAGTTTTCACAAAAACCAGATATAATGAACGGCCAAAATCTAAGTTGAACTCGTAAATGTGTTGTATTACACATGGACGTTAATGTTTGGGCTACAAAAGATGGAATATATATATATATATATATATATATATATATATATATATATATATATATATATATATATATATATATATATAAAAAATAAGTATTTTGTGAGACGAGGATGAAAATCTTAACCACTTATAGACCAAATTACTAAAATGGTCACTGTGGTTTGTCAAAATTACATGTTCGGTCCCTAACGATTCTTTTGTAGATGGACGGTCCTTAACTTATCATTTTGTTACGTTTTTAGCTCCTTGTAGAGATAAAAAAGACTATTTTACCCTTTGTGTTTCTTTTTCAATTTCCTTCTATTATTAATTACAAAAATAAGAAAAAAAGTAATCAATACATGGGTCCCACTCCCAACCCCCACTCCACCCATCTCACACTCTCCTTTCTCACCACCACCAGACTCATGCCGGAGCTACAACCACCAGAGACATGGAATAAACCGAACCATGCCGAAACCCACTGAAAACCCATGGAATGTCATCTACTTCACCTCTCTCTCTTCCCTCTACTTCTTTCCACTCCGTATCTCTCACCGGACAACCACATTCGCCTTTAACCTGCACTCCATTAACTACCACCATTAACCGTGAAACATCCCAAAATACGACCCAAAAATAAAAGTACTAAAATAATATCACAAAGTAAAACCCATATGTCAATGTTTCAAAACAGTAACTAATAGTTATGTAGAAGTGTATCAAAACTGTATCAATCACATTTATGAAAAACTAAAAACATCTCCTAGGACAGCTGAAACTGTGGTGTATGCGATGCCATCAACCCGAGCTCTTCCCTTTACTTGCGGAAGTACCTGAAACCAAAACTGAAACTGTAAGCACGAAGCTTAGTGAGCTCCCCCAAACTACCACATACCATACAATACATATAAACACATACTGGGCCTTGCCCACTGCATCAGACCGAAGTCCGGAAAGTGCATTGGACCGAAGTCCGGAACTAGCCAGGGCCTTGCCCTCTGCATCGGACCGAAGTCCGGAACTATTGAGGCCTTGCCTCCTGCATCAGATCGAAGTCCGAAACTGACTGCATCGGACCGAAGTCCGGAACTGACTGCATCGGACAGAAGTCCGAAACTACTGATCATAGCATAGCACAACATATCAACTAGCATGAACACATAAATAGCATACTGCATCGGGCTGTAATCCGGAACATATAACACATAATCCTGTCTGAGCCACTAAGGCTTCAAACATAATAAAATCTGCATCAGACCGAAGTCCGGAAACTACTACTAGCTATACGGGTCGGCATTGTGGCCTTAGACCCGTTCCTATTGGAAGGAAACTCACCTCGTGATCTGGCTGCTGAGTGTATGGCTCTGGAAGCTATCTGCTGCTACTTCGGTATCTCCCCGGCTATAATTCCACAAATACACTCAATCAAAATACTAATAATTGCATTAGGGTAAAATGACTCTTTTACCCCTAGCTAAAGTCAACTCTCCTGGTGAAGGTCAACTCTTATGGTCAAAGTCAACT